ATGGAGTTGAAAAGAACCCAAGTTCAGGTGCAATTAGTGTACAACCTAAGAAAATTACGAAATATTACGAAATAAAATATGAATTATAACGTAAAACCACATATCTGAACAATCAGTTGCATGGAGGCTATATGTTATAGTGAAAGGTAATATCGAAAAACCGTCACGCGAAAAATTTTAGTAAAATAACTTTAAAACTGATAGAATTATTAACAAAAAAGTTAAAATTTAAGCAAATTTTCATGTAAAACTGGAGCTAATCTGGCAAAACGATCGTAAGATCAGCTATCAAAACCTTTTCCCAGTAAAAAAGGTTCAGCTCTGATATTTTTGCTTCCCTTCTGTGTAATATACAAAATTACTACAAAATTTCAATTTTGTGCGAAAACGTTGGATCAATTCATCCAGTTGGTATACCAAAACACAGATGGAAAGACACATATCTTCGTAATTTTCTCCGAAACAGTAAATTTTGAATTACGTCTCTATATTACGCTGGTTTACAGCAAAAATGTTCTATCGAAAATCGAGTAAATTTTTTTTCTATGGATACGCTTTCGAGATATTTCAAATTTAGCGTTATTCAGCTCAAACAAAATTTGGTTCCTTTTAATCACGCATATCTTACGAACCACTTTAAAATTCTTAGTACAAAATACGACAAATGAAAGCTAATGAAATCCTCGATAAACCGTATATACATCACTTTCCGATAGGTTTCTGACAAATTACTTAATTATTCCAACTTTTTTTTTATTTTTAATGAAAAAATTAAAAAAAATCAAACTTTAGCAGAAGAAAAATTTTAAAAATAACATGTTCTGTCTAAAATTTTTGCATCTGTACTAAAGCCTGTTCTGTTACAAAAAAAAGTCAAATTACCAATGAAGAAAATCGATGGATAAATAAGAAATAATGAGCGGTCAAATGAAAATACGCAAAGATTTTTTGTATGAAAAATGAGCAGGAAAGAAAGTTACTCATATACTACGTACACCTGAGTAAATCGCTTTTTTGTTCATATTTGCGCATTTTCACTCATTATTTCGAATTTATCCATCAATTTTCTTTATCAGTAATTTGATTTTTTTTTTCCCTTCAGATCCCTATAGCTAGGGACACGAATTTCGATACGATACGATACCATATCGATACTTATGGCATTCTATACCGATATCTTTTACTCGATAGTTTTAAAGCTATATTTTTTGGAATCGAGTACCAGAACCCTATATCGTATAGAATGTCTAAAACTCAAATTAATAAGATAATCACCCTCATTGCGAGAGTCGTGTAGAATGCAAGGCGTTTTTCGAAGATCGAATCATGTTGATAATTTCACGTCATTGCCTAAAATTTCCACTCGACTAGTATTAAAACGGAAAAACTTGGCAGCACTGTATTGTTTCCAACGCTTTTCGTCGTTTACTTATTTCGGCACGACTGTAGACAATGCCAATGTTGTCGAGTCGTACAATTTAGCCTAATTTACGACTTACGCAATGAGTCTGCATGTGACTGACAATTCTTCCCGATACAAATTGCGCTTTAAAGAAGAGAAATTTGTACTAAAGTTTAGATTGTAGATGTAGGGGGATTTGAACCCACGGTCTCGGTGTTTTAAGTCAACATCTCTACGTGTAAAAATAATAATAGTTTGGCGTTTACACAATATGTTAGTGTTTGGCCGAGCTTCTCCTCCGATTTGTCGTGTGGCCTTGGTGTTGTGCCATAAAGGGGATCGCTACTGTTTTACGCTGACTCTAAACGGCGATTGTATTTTTTTATGAGAAGCTGTTTTTCTTGGCAGAAATACACTCGGAGGTTTGCATACTTCTAGTCACTACACCACAGCGGCCTACATAGGACACCAATGTTGAGACATTTTTTTGGATTTTGGCATCGATATTTGGGATATCGAGTCTTTTTATTCCGATATTTTTATAGCGATACTTTAAATGAGTACCATATCGATACTTTCCGTTCGATATCGTGTCCCTACCTATAGCGGTCCCACATAGCGCGCGTTGCCCCGATCGCAGCGTGGCCCTGTAGGCGGCATCTTTTTTCTCTGCAGCTTCCGGACATTCCTCATCGTAGAGCTGAAATTAGTCAAGATCGTAAACCTACCGGCATGTAAACCCGAGTCAGCTGACACGATCTGTCTTAACAAATCGCCATGTAAATGTAAACTCAACACCACAGAATTTTTCTGTAGTTGTAGACCGTAGCGCAGAAATCTGCGGAATTTAGATTTTTCCGTATCAGGTGGC